TGAATAAAGCTGGACCGTCTTTGGAAGTAACGATATTTCCATAACATTAAGAAATTTCTGTAATTTTGAAAAATTCTGCTCAAGTAGTTGAATGTCTAGTTTTTATAAGATTCCCTATTGTTCATAGGGAAATTATAGGCCAATCCTAGTAAATAAAAAATCTGAACTTAAAGACTTTTCCACACCAGTGATTTTGAATTTTTGAAGAGTTCCTCTAAATAATAATTTGGTGTATATGAAAGAATCCTTTTCAAAATTTCTAGTTCATACATGTTGCATAAAATACCTTTAAAAAGCACTGGGAAAGCCTAATGGAAATCCTATTTTTCTCTCAGCTAACTTTAGATCATTGATTTGAAATGCTGTTACTGTGTTTCATTTGCTATTGCATTCATGCTCCCCCCACACCCAGCTTTAGTATTCAAATGATTACTTATTTTATGATTAATATTACATAGCTACATGGAATTTTCTAAGCATTTCTTTTGGGCTCTTACAATATGCTTTCATAAAACAAGTCCTTTGCAGAAGTTGCAACACATCCTTTGCTTAAAATCCCATGAAAAGGCTACTTTTTTGATACTCATTTAAGAATCACTAACATGAAGATAAGTCTATCAAACAGCCTAGACGGGGAACCGTCTGCCCAAAACAAGCTTGTTACTCAGTACAACAGAAATCAGATCTTCATGGGTATCTTTTCAAACAACAAATTAAAAATACCAATATAAGAAGCCCTATTCTTCTGGATGCACCATTCTCATTCTATTCCTAAATTATTAAAGAACAATATCCCTTTAAGTGGAAACTTATAATACTAACAACATCCATCTGTTTCTTAACTGCTGCAACAGAAGCATGCAGTTGTATGGAAGGGGGGTTGTTAAAAGGGTGAGTACTCACAGAAGCACTGAGAGTTGGAGAACCTACCTACCAGTGCCTCAGCAGGTGGGTTCTGGTGCAGCCATGGCTGCTGCTGTGAGATACCACCTGGTCCCTTGCATCACTTAGCTTCACGCCTTTGCGTGAGCTACAGGAGAGGCTCAGGAAGCAAGCACTCACTGTGTGTCTTGCAGCTCCTATGGTAAAAAGGCAATCTGTGCTCCTTATCAAGATTTCGTAAGGTGAGGGCTGGGAACATGGCTCAAATGGTAGAGAGCCTGCCTTGCAAATGCTGGCTCAAACTCGAGTACCACAAAAACAAACTTAACAAGAAGATTCGTAAGGTGGAAAATGCCATAATGAAGTCTTTGAGCGCTGCCTGCATAAGTGTTCCATGTCATTTATGTTGTTTTATAGAGCTCAGTTCATTTGATAAATACATTGTCATTTTTTCCACCCATGGTTACAAAATATTAGCTTAATATCTTCATTTCTTACAGCGCTGGTGTGGGCAGGACAGGCACCTACATTGTAATAGACAGCATGCTGCAACAGATAAAAGACAAAAGCACAGTTAATGTCCTGGGATTCCTGAAGCATATCAGGACACAGCGTAACTACCTCGTCCAGACTGAGGTAAGGAGCGGCTGCCAGCATCCTCACAAAATTCCAGCACACTCTGTAGCTGAAAATAGAATGACATTGAGGAGGCAGATTTGTTCTCTTGGGTCTTGAACGAGTTAGTAGTTTGTATTAGACGATATCCTGCCCACACTACTAATCTTTGGATCATAGTTTTCTGTTTCTGGGTGAGTCTTAATGTGTGGATTGCTCAGTCAGTACACAAATACTTAGGATCAGATACAGTTGTATCAAGAACTGTGTTAGAGGCTGAGGGGAGTTAAATATGCTGTCTGCCCTGATAAACACACAGGAAAGGATAGTTTTTATAAACACACATTTGTCAACTGCTTGCTGTACCGGACAAACTCTTCCAGTGTGCAATACAGACCTAAACTTAATGGTCTCCCCTGAAATAAACTATGATGGATAAGCAAGTGAGTATTGGAGCAACTCACCTAGGTGCAAATGTTTGAAGGAATTCAATGTAGGTCCCTGTTCAAGGCAGAGTTAATGTAAAGTCAGCTTCATGAATGGGTGACTACCCTTAGTGGTTCTCAGTGATCATCACCTATTGTACCTTTTAGGAGCAGTACATTTTCATCCATGATGCCTTGTTGGAAGCCATTCTTGGAAAGGAGACTGAAGTATCTTCACATCAGCTGCATAGCTATGTTAACAGCATCCTCATACCGGGAGTAGGGGGAAAGACACGACTGGAAAAACAATTCAAGGTAGAACTTTCAATAATTTCTTTGATCTAAAGCAAGGAAGAGAAAAATGCCTTGAGTTTGGGGTCAGGCCGTCTCTGCATCAGTGTTTAGAGCGAAATGGATCACTTTTTGTGTCCTTAAAGGTAATGCAAAGAAAGTTTTGATCCATGTTTGTATTCAAGTAGAAGCAGTACAGTGCTTTATTTTCTTCTGAATAATTTATGACTTTATCTGAACATAAACATTATCCTCTGACAACAATGAAATAAGACTTTAAGTCAATTACTCTGGTCAAAAAAAAAAATCCTCTATGAAGACTACTTATTCTAACCACTTGGAAAGGCTAAGACATGAGGTTAAAGAAGGGCTAAATAGCAAGACCTGTCTTTAAAAAAAAAAGAGAAGAATGGTTATTTGTAGACAAGTTGTCCTCAAAATATGCCTGTTTGAAAAATGGTTCCACAAGACATTTTGGAAACTAAAAAGTTACTAAACTAAATAATAGTAGAGCAAAGTTAAGTTTTCCTAAATTGGAAGTTCTTTTTCTTTGATAGAGGTGTGAAGTTTAAAGGCAGGTAAGGTTTATATGGAATTGACTGAAGAAGGAAAGGTGAAAAAGACAGACTATTAAATTAAGATCAGAAAAGCTTGAAGAATTAATTATAACTTTCAAACACTACTTATGTTTGCGGTTACTACGTGCTTTCCTATTTATTAGTCTCTTGTTTTTCAATTCTCATTTTCTGCACATTGTTCTATATGTAAGCAGTTTCTCATTTTGTGTCGAGATGGAAATGATGAGATGATCTGTGTGACTTTATTTTTCATGGTAAAATTTTCCATAAACTGAAACCTTCATCTGTATCTTGCCAACCAAATTATACCAAGTGATAGGAAATGAAAACCAATTAAGTTCACTGAGTTCAGTCATAAGAATAATTTTAGCTTTCTAGCTCTCTTCCTAACATCCTAACTACTATAAAAACCATTTGAGGTAATTAATAGTGAGCACACAATATATCATTTTAAATATTTAAGACAAGTTCTTACTAATATATGAAAAATTCTGCCTTTCTTGTAACACAGATTCACATAAAGGTTTCAGAGTCTATGGAAGAATAGACTCTGAAGAATACTATGAAGAATAAAACTGCAACAGTTCATTTCATTCTTTCCATCTTGACACAGGTTGAGAAATTACTTACATGTAGAATTTAAAAAGACTAACGAGAGCTTCCCTATCTTAAAAATTCAAATTTCCTGAATCCAAAGCTTTGTCAGTGCCAACCTGAGGCCACAGTGGAAAATTTCTTCCAGGCTATGTGAATATAAAACATAAATAAATTTTGTGTTTAGGCTTGATTCCCATCCCAAAAATATCCCATTATATATATGCAAATCTTCCAAATTACCTCTAGGGCCTAGGACAGTAGTAATAAAGCATGAGGAGATGGAGATTGTTCCCATACATTTCATTCAGATTGACCCATATACACAACCCATATACACACAAGAAACAGAATTGACAAAATGGTTCAACCAAGCTACAGAAACAGGAAGAACAACCAAACCACTGGGCTAGTTCTGACTTTTGAAAAATGTCATTTCAACAGAAATGTAGTAAGTTGTTCTTGATCTTCGAGCAACATAACTAGCTCTTGATGCCATTGCACAGTCTTCAGGTGTAGACTCACTCAAGTCTTCACAACATCAGTATTATGTTAACAAAGAAAAATCTTCACAGTATTCCAGAAGCCTACAGTCTGACAGTAGAAATAAGACAAGGACACAACCAAGACAAGTTCCACTAGGGAGACAGCAGGGTGAGTGTTCTTTGGGGCACAAAAAATGTCTTTGTTCATGAGTAATCTGATTATTGGTATTCCAGATTGTCAAGCAGGTACTGCAAATTATACCCTTGAAAGAAGACTAAAATGTTGCTTTTGTTTCAGCTGGTCACACAGTGTAATGCAAAATATGTGGAGTGCTTTAGTGCTCAGAAAGAGTGTAACAAAGAAAAGAACAGAAACTCTTCAGTCGTGCCATGTAAGATCTTAAAACCAGTTTGATTTGGTTCCTGTGTTCATATTGTTTAAGTATGTAGAGACAACAACTACCCAAGGGAAGACATCATGTCCTGTTCAACTGAGGGAGTTTGAGGCAAATTGGGGTGGTAGGACTTTGCCTTCCAACAAGTCACACTATGATAAGAAATAAGGTTCTAGTTCACCTCAAAATACAAGAATTAGGTTACCTCTTTTATATCGTAATTAAAAATAATAAAGCTATTATCACTATGCATTAACACTCCTTTAAAATGTAGAGTCTGAGATTAAACTGCAACTGAAACTCCATCATTAAATTATTTCTGGCTATTGAGATCCAGGCAGCTGTTGACTGAGGGCTGATTCTTATATAAATAACTCGGGACACTGCACAGGATTCATCATAGGTATAGGTGACTGTTGGAGGGATTTGTCTCACTAAAAGAGGCCACTGTTTTATAAGCCCTTTATTGGGAGAAAGACATTTACAGGGTTGGTAAAAGAATAAAATATAATATATTATTGTAACTGTAGTACTGTACACTAGGGTTAAAAGTTATCTGAAACACTCTGGCATGTCTGTACAGAAGATTCGCTTAGTGGTCTGCTGTGAAAACCTCTCCTACAGCAGGAATTTCACTCCTACAGTATTTGTCCTGGGTATATGAGGACAATTTAATTTTATGTTCTGCCTTAGCTAATAGCACTTCCGCTTGTTTAAACGTATAGGTTAATCTTAGAAGGTTCAGGGGACAGATTATTCCCATGTAAATCTCTGGAGGAGCTGTTGGTTCCTGTGGGTATTAAGGCAAATGTGGTATTGTTTTTTCCATATGATAGCTGAGCGTGCTCGAGTGGGTCTTGCACCATTGCCCGGAATGAAAGGAACGGATTACATTAATGCTTCTTACATCATGGTGAGAGTCAACAGTTAATCATAAATTAAGTCAATTAAACAGAATGGTGTTAAAGAGCAGATACCACCTATGTGACTGATTTCATTTTTTAAATAATTTCTCAATGTGTAATACCAAAAGTTTAGAGATTTCTGTATGTTGAAACTTTTTACAAAACATACCTAAACAGTGGGTGTATAAAAATGCCTACATTAAGCAAAATGCTTCTTAAGGAATTAATTTTATTGTTAATATCACCCATCTAGCCTCTGAATAAATGTTGAAATTACTGTTAAGTAAAAACAGCAGGGGTAACTTCAAGTGAATTGCATGTGGAGAGGAAATTGTGGGCACATTGTTAACAGAAGTATGTCTAAAAATTAGCCAAATGTTCTGAATGCTTTTCTCCATTATTTTGGTGCGGTCAAAACAATGTTGTCTTGTTTCATGAATTTATTTTACTACCACAAAGTTAGAACAAAATGCTTATAATCACCAATCTTTCCCTCTTCCCAACTGAAGGGCTATTACAGGAGCAATGAGTTTATCATAACTCAGCATCCTCTGCCACATACTACGAAAGATTTCTGGCGGATGATTTGGGATCATAATGCACAGATCATTGTCATGCTGCCAGACAACCAGAGCTTGGTAAGTGAAGCACATCTGCTATATATTAACGAGCCCATGAGGCTACACACATAAATTACGCTGCTACCTTGCCACAGGGCTGTTGTGTCTGTATATGGTAGGGAGGGAATTTAAGCCTGTACAGATTCACTTCGTAGAATCACAGTATAGTCTATCACTTCCATTATTTGATTCTCTGATGCTGTTAATATTGCCTGTCAGTTGTAGCATACGTGAGAGTGTGGTCAACCGTTTTGAAAAAGATCCTTTTAGTAACTGCATTCATGTGATGTTATACTGACTTCTTACCCACTGTTTGTCACTTTTCAAAAATAGTTTCATGTTTATAGACTATGCGATTGTTTACTTTCCATGTGTTAACTTATTTAGTCCTCAGAACAATTTTATGACATAGGTACAATCAGTATCTCATTTAATAGCTGATAAAACTGAGGGAACTAACTTGTAGAAGACCATGTGTCAATAATTGGAGGCAGGACTTGAACCTGAGCCATCTGTCTCCAAATTTCATGCTTTTAATCACCTTACTGTATGTCCTGCCATGCATCATAGGAATGTTTCTTAGCAAAGAAGGATACCGTATCAGAAATACTAATAGTGTATCATTTTTTTTCCCATGCCACAGGCTATTTTGTTCCAACCTACAAGTCCCCTTAAAGGCTTTGGTTAAGCCACTACTTCTTTCCCTTCCCATATTCTGTTAAATAAAATCTCTTAACTATTTAGGAGACTGGTGAGCAAATTTAGACCTCCTACATAAAGAAGGTTTAGAATTAGCTGGGTTTTGAAAAGTTACTATGTGGACACGTTGAGCCAACAAGATAAAAACAAAAACCAATGAGGCTCTGCCTCTGTGAGTGTCGGATTAATGAGTAAAATCAAGAAAGAACAGCATGTGATTGAACCCCTAGTCTGGATGACATACATTTGACTGTGTGCCCAGTCGGTAAGAACTTCTTCACTTTGTCGCTTTTTGCTCCAGCTTCAGAATACCAGGGCTGCTTCTGTATGATGGAATGGCAGCAAAGTTGAGAATCTTAAGCTAAAAGCTGGAGTGTAAATTTTCAAATTAGCTGGCAACAGGAGTCCATTCTGTTTGGCATGTGGAAGTGGAAGGCATTTTGGATTGTTGAAAGTATTCGTTTGTTGAGTGAGTCAGTATTTGGTTATTGACAGTTAACAGAGGACAGTCACCATAAAGCATCTACCCATAGGCTTATTTGTGTGGAAAGGCTACTGGACAACTGGACCCAGAATATGGATACATATTCTACAGAGAGGGAGGATACATGGAACACAGTGTATCTCAGTCTACCTAAGGCCAGGCTACAATCAAATGTCTGATCTCTTAGAATCCAGTTTCATCCTTGCATAGTTTTTTCTAAAACTGGTTTCTGGATTGTTCTTACTGTACTCATTATCACTGTAACTGTGCAAAAGTATAATCCTGTAAGTGGCCTGAAAGTCAGTGGTCCCTAACTTAAAAAACACTTACCAGTGCTCAGACACCTTGCATCTATAAATATATTTGTCAGCGGAGTAACCATGAGACCAGAATGCCTGCTGAATTAAGAAGATGCACTTTAGTTTTTTAGCCTTTCAAGAGGAATAATAATTCCCTAGTTCAATTTCTGTATTCAAAAGGCTTTTCCTGCCTTTTCTTTCACCATAATTAAAATCTCTTTGGTATCCTTCAGTTAGATAATTTACTACTCATATTATCATCTTTTTGAGACACACTATTCTCACTTTTCAAATATGGAAATTCAGGCTCAGAAAGATTAATTTATCCAGGATCACATCTAATAATCCTATGCTTAATCTGCATAGTTAGGTTTCAAGCCCATACCCATCATTATATGTTGAATATGTGTTTATAGGGTCATATCTCCATTTTCTTGAACAAAACATAATAAAACCCCTAACAGTTACAGACTTCTTTTGTATAGACTCAACCCAATTGCTAATCTGTTTCCCCTTATGCTGAGCTTTAAAAATAAAGATGTACTTGGCAATAAGCTGTATTGAAACTTGAAAGGGAGATAAGTCTTATTGGACTGCTGGCTCATTTCTGATGCAACAATATAAGATTAAACAAAACCTTCTTTGTTTTGAACATTATTCACAATTACTTCTGACTTCAACGATAGTAACTAGGCACTTTGAGGAAAAGGCCCATACAAATCGACATGCTACAAGCAAACTAGTTTGTCATTTGAGCTAATTAGAAAAGGAGGGAGGGGTGTGCATCACCATAATCAGATTTCTCACCAAGTCTCCAACCTAAGCAACAGTTTCTTAGGCTTCCATAGTTTTCAGGGATAAAATTCAGATACCAAGCTGGAGTATCTATTTTTAATCTTAAAGTGAATGAACATGTAAAGCTTGCCTGATTCAAAGCTGAAAGACTTTCTGTTTTATCTTCTCTTGAAATCTAACATTGGCAGCCTAACTTTTCTTTTAAAGAGTACCTTGTACTTACAGCCAGCATGTTTATTTATGCACAACTCCTTTGTAAAAAGTTCTATCCTTTACCATTTATACACAGCGTGATTGTAGACAATTTATGGACATCCATGAGCATGTTCTCATCTGTAAAGACAGATGATAAAAAATCTCTTATCTAGGGGCTAACTCCCAAAACTTAAAAAGAACTTACACAACTCAATAGTAGAAAAATGAATAATGTAAAATTTAAAACATGGGCGAAAGACCTAAATACACATGTCTTTAAGGAAGACAAAGTGACCAGTAGGTATATATGAAAAGGTGCTCAATGTCATTAATCATAAGATACACAAATTAAAACCACTACACCATACCACCTCACACCCATTGAAGGATAACAAATGTTGGTGAGAAGAAAGGGAATTCTTTTACACTGTTGATAGGACTGCAGACTGGCATACCCATTATGGAATACAGTATGGAAGTTGCTAATGAAAGTCAAAGGAGAACTACCATATATTCTAGCAATGCCTTCTCTGGGCATATACCCAAAGGAAATGAAATGACCACCTTACAAAGTCAGACACAGAAAAAAAATACTGCATTTTGTCACCAATAACAAAAACAATTCAAACAGAACAAAACAGTAGTTATAGAGGTCAGGGAGGAATTGGAGATGTAGGTCAAAGGATATGAAGCAGCAGATATTTAGGATGACCAAGTCTGAAGCTCGTGTACAATGTGAAGACTCCCGGAAATGAAATTGTACTACATTTGGAATTGATGCTAAATGAGATATTAGTTGCTCTTGCCATAAAAAGTTTAAACTATGTAAAATGATAGATATATTAATTTCCTTAACTAGAATAATCTTTCTACTATCTACATATCCTATAACACCATGATGTACACTTCAGATATACACAATAATTTCTTTCAAAAACTCCCTTTATCTTACTGATACAAAAATTAACATAGATAATGTTAATGAAACCCCTTTGCAAGATGTTACTCAACTGTAGAACTGTTACCAACATAACCCATAGGAAATAACAATTAGCATGTCTTGGTTGCTTAAGCAACTGTGAAATAATAAAATTAATTGACCTAGATCCAATCCATTCTTACTGTGCCAATTATGATTCAGTGCGCTTGTCAACTGGGGGTAATGCATCCCCTATGGAGAGAGTGAATGGGTTGTTACAGTGACAGGTGAGAGTACTAGGAGATGGTTATTATCAGAACATATTTTATGATAGACTGCACTAACCACTGAACTCAGCAGGACTACATGGGGATATAATTCCATGAACTCAACTAAAAAGATGACTTTGAGAAGTGTGGGAAAAGGCAAGAAGTCATTTTGCAAGAAAATTCACAAACAAATGTTCTGGCAGCACTACACAATAATTTTTTCTTGGTTCCCAAAGGCAGAAGATGAGTTTGTGTACTGGCCAAGTCGAGAAGAATCCATGAACTGTGAGGCCTTTACTGTCACCCTTATCAGCAAAGACAGACTGTGCCTCTCTAATGAAGAACAAATTATCATCCATGACTTTATCCTTGAAGCTACACAGGTAACTTAACTTAAACCTAAGCTCCTCCGGAATAGCCAGACCTGAGCCCTGGCTCGTCCTTTTAAGGAATAATGAAGTAATTTACCACCCTTGAGACAGGCCCAGGTGTTTGAGTAAGACTTAAAATTAAGTATGTACATTTCCCTTTTTTCTTCCTTCAAATATTTGCTTTTTCCAGCTGGCTAGATGAAATGTAACAGTTTCTCTGGTTGGCCTGCATACAAATAGGCCTGTTGACCTAATTATAAAAACAATATACTAGAGCTCAGGTACTTTCTTTGCCATCAGAAGTATAAGTCTTGCAATGTGTTGCAAGGATGATAATATAAGGGCTTTTTAAGTGCACAATATTTTATTTTTTTTATTCTTATTGTTTTATTATTCATATGTGCATACAATGCTTGGGTCATTTCTCCCCCCTGCCCCCACCCCCTCCCTTACCACCCGCCCCGCCCCCTCCTTCTGCCCCCCACCCCCTCAATACCTGGCAGAAACTATTTTGCCCTTATCTCTAATTTTGTTGAAGAGAGAATATAAGCAATAATAGGAAGGAACAAGGGTTTTTGCTAGTTGAGATAAGGATAGCTAATACAGGGAGTTAACTCGCATTAATTTCCTGAGTGCACAATATTTTAGTGTGTAAAAGAAAGGATAAGAGGGGTCCCTCTTATACATTAGTAATTTATATCCTATCCTATCTTCTAATTTGTAATATTAAAGAAAAAAACAGGAAGGGGGCCTAGGTCATCATTTAAAGTCTCCTATACTTTATTATTACTTGAATTTGGGACCTGAACAGAATCGAATTCTACTGTTTTCACCAGCATGATCTGCTCATCTTTTCATGGCAGACCTCTTTAGTATTTTTAGTCTCACCAGTTGCAGTTTGGCTAACCTGACATTGCTTATAATTCTGTAACGTATGCTTTCTAGGAAGCAAATTCTAGTCACTTGATTGTAGACCTATGAAGTGAGGACAGGCTGTGACTTATGTTGTGTTGGTTACAGGATGACTATGTCCTAGAAGTTCGGCACTTTCAGTGCCCCAAATGGCCTAATCCAGATTCCCCCATAAGCAGTACATTTGAACTGATCAACGTCATCAAGGAAGAGGCCTTAACACGGGATGGCCCCACCATTGTTCATGATGAGTATGTATCTGTTTCTTCATTTTAATTTATTTATTAAATGCAAAAGAAGTTGTAAGGGAAGACAGAATTTTCAAACTACCCTCTGTATCAGCTTTGACAGCTCCTTGTTATTTCTGTTGTGTACATGGGCATAGCATGTTTCTGGTTACATTTTAATAGAGTCAAAGTTAGCCAAGACTTCAGGTTCTCCTGAACTGTGTATTCTAGGAAGGGGAAGGTAATATACCTTAGCTACAGAAGTAGTCATATATGTTTTTGAAGTCTTTATGTTTTAATACCAAATATTTTTTATTAATAATCTGATTAGCTTTTTATAGAAATTTTAAAATCCTTGCTCCGAATTTCAATAAAAACTTTTTAGGGATGGAACTTTGTAAAAGTATGGGTTGTTGATGATTAGAGATATAATACTTATGATATTGTTTACAGGACTGCCTGTAATTTAATGGCAAAGAATACAGATGTTACAGTTAACAAAATTACTTGTGCCTAGTCTCCATATGAGAATGATATTCAGATCTAGCCCCTTTACACTTTAATAAGGAAAACATCATCAATATATAAGACAGTATGTGGATATTTGGAGTTAGACTTCATGTCTAGACTCAACCTGTAAGTCAGTGTAAAACCCTGGACCATCTAGAATCACAATAACCTTTAGCCAGTACAGAACCAGTTGACGTCCTCAGTTCTGGTTTAGTTCCAAGGTAGCTCCCAGGTCAGCAAATTCTCAGTGTATTCATGGTGGTCATTGGATTACCAATTACTCTAGTAGTGTAAGACATTAATAATTTGGAAAGCCATGCTTCAGTCTTTTGTTTTCCTTGAGGTAATGCAGCAACCTGATGTACACAAGACTTTCACCCCACGTCAGAACCTTCACTTCAAGTAATAGTAACCGTAGGCTTGTATTTTAACTTTCTCAGCCATTTTATGCTCTTTCCTAGGAAATAGGAATATTTCAAGACATTGGCCTATGAGTAAGATTAAAAATGAGAAAGCATAGTTGAAGCTTAAGATCAATTCTTAGACTGTGACAATTGACAAGAAGGTTTAAAGTAGGCAGTTGTTACCAGTCTATGAAACTTTCTGGCATACTAGGACATAAAGTTAGGGCTGCTTCTAGCTTGTTCCTTACTAATCTGAATCAGCCTTTCAAATGCCTTCTGGGTTTACCAGCTCTCATCAACCCAGGACAAATTCTAATGTTGCTGCCCAGCACTATGACTGATTTTGCTTGTTATGGTAGTACCTCGCAGAATTGTGTCCTAATGTCAGTACTGAAGTTCATCTTTATATTTCATGATAGGGAGAAAGGATAAGAACCTCAGTTAAACACTGGACAGAGTATTTGATCCACTTATCTGTGTTCAATTCTGGGTTCTCTTAGTGATTTTTAATGTATGTCATTTCCAAAATTAACCAAATTACTTTTTTGACTGTACTGGGGGTGTTGAACTCAGGGTCTTATGTGTGCTAGGCACGTGCTGTTCTACTTGAGCCACTTGCTTTCATTATTGTTAAGAGAGGGTCTACCAAACTTTTTTGCCTGTGCTGGCCTTGAATTATAATCCTACCTGAGTAACTAGGATTCTAGCCACCATGCTAGAATTCAAAATATATTTCTTTATCCACAATCTGGGGGATACATTGATTTTCCACATTAGTCAAGAGAAAATGTAGATGTTTTAGAGTTACTAGCTCCAGTGCAATACCTAAACACTGGTTAACTTCTCAGTTTTGCCTACTGTTGGTATCCGTAGACATCCTTTCATGGTGGCCTCAGATAACTCCAATTCCCTATCTGCTACTATACTCATCATCGTCCCTGATTGCCCCCTCGGTTTAGTTGCACAAGCCAGAATCTCAGCAGTCCTTTTTCAGTCCCCCTCACCTCCACATCTAACTGGCTACCAGGTCTTGCTGTTACCCATTCTTTCAATACACTTTTCAAAGTTTTTGACAATTTGGCTTCGGTTTTTATTTTTCCAGCTATTTTCCCACTCCTCCATTCAAATACTTCCTTGCCCCTGCATGTCCTTTCAACACAGCTCAAAAGTCTCTCTTTGAGACTATGTCTAACTTATTCCAGAGACAGTAATCAAAACCATTAGCAAACATTACATACCAGTGCACACCAGACAGATATCTGCTTATCATACCACTCTATAACTATTTGTGTACACGACTGTCACTCTCCCATTGCTGAGGCCAGCAAAGGTAACATTCATCCCAGTCTCTATAAGGTAAAGTGCAATGCCTGGGGCAGAGTGGGTGCTGGCTTAACTATTTGCATGAATGGATATCGTGTTTTAAATTATGACTAACAAAGTACTAAGGATATGTACCCCTATGTAAATTGTCCCCTAGAAGCATGGCTTTTTGTCATTTATTGTTCAAAGTCATTTTTCCTGTGTAAATTCTTCGGTAAAACGTAAACCAATTGTAGTGTCTTTTTTAAGCTCTGTGTTTAAAGAGAAGGCTTGCATACATCTGGTGTAAGTCAGAGTTGACTTTGTAAGTGTGCAAGCTTTATATCTTCATAGACATAACACATCCTTCAGATTCCAAGCTATGTACCAGGTGGGTGACATTTTGTAGATCAATGTCTAAGGATAAAGGTTCTGTTTAGGGACAGGTACATCTTAAAGGCAAACTGCTGGAGTTTAGCATCCTGTATTTGCCTGCTCAAGAGCATTCTGTTCAGAGGATGATCTCTAAAATTTTGGCAATCCCTACACAAGAAATCTACAACGTAGACATGGTTCTTACACCACCCTAAGAGACAGCCATGGATTATGCTTTTGCCCAAATACACAAAACCTCAGCGATTATTTTAATTTGGTCTTGAGATCACAGATATTCTATAAGAAGTGCAAAAATTTATATACTGCTTTCTTATACCTATTGCTGAAAAGACAACCACCAATCATAACTAAGAAGATAAATTTATGATCCCCACTTCACATTTAAGGAAACAGGCACATGTGAAGGAACCTGCCGAGGACCTGTGGAGACTTACAGCCGGTATGAGAGACAGAACCAGCTACATAATTTATGGGATGTAGTATAAAATGAAACTGCAGGACCCTTCTGAGCAAGCCGGGTCATTGAGGCACAGAGTCCTATGCTGTTGCAGCAGAGGCCAGTGCAGAAGCTCATAGTCAAAGCACATTGTAAAATCCTGCTGTTTAACACTGCCCCTGCTGGGTTTCACAGTAAGCATTCCTGCACTCCTCTCCCTCATTTTTTCAGACTGTGCTTTCATTTTTTTTCTACTTGATACTCATTCACTTTCCAGCCTTTAATTTTTAAAAGTCCTGTGGAAGGCTGTTGTGTTGCTACTCTTCTTAAGGAATGATAACAGATACAAGCGTGAATTCCTCATTTTCCTCCCTGCCCTACTGATTTCCTTCACAGTGACAGGGTTATAACTCTGGACTCTGTCTTAGTTAAAAACAGTCTTAAAAGTAAAGCTACAATAAGTGTTAGGAATTACTTGAAGTAGTAAAACTTGATTAGATTGATATAGACATTATGTACAGTAACCAGATAGGGAACCTCAGTGGGTTTTAAAATGAGTATAAACAGCACCTTCTAAAAATTACAGTATATCAAGTTTTTTTTTTTAAGTTTAAATAATTTCTTTGAAGCATAGGCAGGGAAAGATGAAAATACTATGGCTTTTCTCCTAATAGCACTAAATCAGCGTTACTTTTAATAGGGCCCTTAAATGAACTGCCAAATAAATTTCCTAGTCCAATAGATTGATAGAATGCTCATTTTATCAACAAAATTAGAGATAAGGGCAGAACAGGTTCTGCCTGGAAGTGAGGGGGTGAGGGGGGAGAGTGTGAGGGAGGGGGGCAGAGGGGAGAAATGACCCAGTGTAAGCACGTGTGAATAAATGAATAATTTAAAAAATTTTTTTAAAGAAAAAGAATGCTCCTTTTCGCTAGTTTCTACATTACTTATATCACTATTGCACCAAGTTCCTCTAGTTTTAAGTGCAAATCCATGAAACTCCACGAACATCCTTTAATCCTACTTAAGCCCTAAACTTCTGACAGAGAGTACCCTTTATTTTTTTTGTTGTTTTCTTTTTTATTTTAATGCTAGGTATGTAGAAAATACTTAAAAGTTCCTGCAATTGATTTTAGTTTCTAGTCATGTTCAAAGCCTAATTGTATGGGTGCTTTCTCTTAAGTACAAATGGGGATACAATCTAAGAAGTATGTCACTGAGGGATTTCCTCTTTGTGTGAACATCACAAGTGTGCTTGCACAAACCTAGATGATATAACCTACTGCACATTAAGACTGTATGCTATAGCTACTGTCATTTGCCTTCTGTCCTTGACCAAAATGTCATACAGCATGTGACCATACTTACTTAATGGCTGAACATAGGAAAGGCAACCCACAAAAAGGCCAGCATAATCCCATGTAAAAAGCACATTCCATAAATAGCACAGATCCACATTACCAGACTTTTCTTTCTGACTGTCTATAGTTTTTAAAAAGCCAAGAAATAAAAAAGGAGAATCTTGAGTTTAACTATATCCCTAGGACTTATTAAGTAAAGGTTAAATTCTTCCCCTTATGAACCAAATCAGTACAAATGAATTTTTGTAATAGCATGCTAAAGTAAGGTCAACTTAAAAACTTTTACAATTTAAAAACTGGGGAAAAACAACATGATGAATAAGAAGCAAACCACAATAAATCAGTTAATAGAGCAATCCTAGTAGGATATCAAGATAATATGCTCAGAGATCTAATAATTGAGAACCAATGTTATAAATCAAGAACAAAGTAGTACCTAGGAATGGAAAATTATATGATTCTTGAAATTTAAAATGTAAAGAGATGGGCAAGAGTGGAAGGTACAGTGCTGAAATAGTGGATGTGGAAATTCTAATCTGTCCAAAGAGGTAGTCCACAGGGTTGAAGAGGTTAAAGAGAATCTAATAGGTGGGGTTTTCTAAGAACTGATTAAGG